GCGAGGGTGGCGATCGCTTGGCCGGAGATCGCGAGGTAGCGAGCATCGCGATGGGCGAAACGGAAGGAGGGTGGTACCTGGTGCCGCAAATCTCGTCATTCTCTCTGCCGAGGAAGCGCGGTCTACGCGTGGAGGTTCTGCCGTTGAAACGCGGACTGCGCGTCGAGGCCCCCCGTCCCCCATGCAGGGGGGAACCTATGCCGGATTTCCGGCAGGGGTCTTTCTCTTGACGGCGGCGGGTCTGCGCATAGCATTCCAGCTCTGAGCAATGCTCGCGCTGCTTGTAGAGGGCGGGAGCGCATGTTCCGATGCTCAACGATCCCTGCGTCCCTGCACAGCCTCACGCCCACGACGACGATGTCTGCGCCCGCCGACACCCCGCGCTACGGGTCGGAGATCCCCAGGACGATCAAGAAAAAGTCAGAGCGACGGGAGCGGGCCGTCGACAAGCTGACGGACGATGCGCGGGCCTACCGCGACGCTGTCTCGGACCCCGAAGCAGCGCTCGGCAACGGACTGATGCCCGGAGATCCTGTATACCAGAAGTTTCGCGCCGAGGCGGTAGATGCGATGCGGCAGTTCCGCCAGGCGTGGAGTCAGGTCGGCAAGTCGGATCTCGAAATCGCCGTGGAGGTGATCAATCAGTCGCGGGCTCGGGAGTCGCTCGACGCCGTCTCGGTCGCGACCCTGGACGGGCTCGACCCGCTGCTGGCCGCAAACATCCGCCTACTGGCCGGCATCGTCGGCAAGATCGCCCGAAACCCCTTCAAGGCCGAGCTGGAACAGATCGAAGGCCTGCGCCTCGTGGACGAGACGGACCTGCGCGGAAGGCGGTTCGAGCTCGGGACAGAAGATGACGGAGACGAGGAGCACGCACATGGGGACCAGGCGGAGCCGGAACTTACAATGGTTTGTCCGTGGACGGCGCCTCGCGGCGTGGTGCCGGTAGCACGCACTCGCCCGGCTCATCACCCTTTACCCCGCAGGAGCTCTACATCCGGCAGCTCGTCTACGACTCCCTCGATGATCTGCAACACGACATCGCTTCATACTGTGTGCGCTTTCCGGCGGACGCGGCGCACTTCGATGCGCTTTACCAAGTCGTGCGGGAGATCGCACCCGCCGTTGGCCCGTCCGAGCTCGGCGCACTCCTTGCCCACCTGCTCTACGTAGGCTTCGGAACCAAAGGTGCCGCGATGCGGAACGCACAGGATCTGGATGCAGTCCGGCTCGGCGAGCTGCAGTCGCGCCTGGGCAACTTCCTCCGGAGCGCGGAGCGTGCCGTGAAGATCCGGGTCTTCAAGATCGAGGGACTGCAGTTCGACCAGGCCCTCACGGAAGAGTCGACCTACGGGAAGAGGTCCGATGTCAACTCGCAGTTCATCGAGCGGTTCACCATCTCGGCCCTGGCCCCGAGCCTGCTCAACCAGGACCTCGGCGGATTCTCGCCCGAGCCGCTCTGCGTCGACGACGAGTACTCGGCTCGTCTCGCGAGAGTGGACGCATGGTGCACCGAGAAGCTTGCCCGCGCTCTGTCGCAGCACGGCGTCGCCCGGCTTGCCGATCTCGTCGAGGTCGCCCGAGAGCCGCGGATCCAGGAGGTGATGGAGGCCGTCGAGAAGCTCCTCCACGAAACCGAGCTGGCGAAGGACGGGGCGATGGGCCCCAAGCCCAACCCCGTGTGCTACGACGCGGCAAAGTTGCGCGCGTCGACGCTGCCGACGGTTCTGGGGCAGGTCGTTCGCTTCAACCTTTTTCACGACGTGTCCAGAGAAGGCCTCATTGTTGCGGAGCTCGCAGGCTTCCAAAACCAGTCCGGAAGAATGGGCCGTGGACCCCTGGAGTTTGAGCTGGCTTGCCTCGCCGCCGATCCCTCCATCCCTCGCCTCAACCCCGCTGAGCGCGCCGCCATGACTCCGGGAGCTTTCCGAGACCACGTGGCGAGGAGCTTCGGGCCCATGATGGACTGCTGGGCTGCGTCCGTCGTTCACGAACCGACATGGGCTTCGCTGCTGGGCGCGTCGCTCGTCCTGGGAGCCGTCAAACCGCTGCACATACACGGATACTCGGCCGAGACCACTGGAGCGGCCCTCGGCGAGCTCCTCTGGCGATCTTGGACCGTCAAAGAGGGGATGGAGCAGATCGAGGAGTTGTTCCGCGGCGGCGCGCTGCCGCACACGCTGGAGGACTGGGAAGCCCTGGTCTCGCCCGAAGACGTCGCCGGCGTGAACTGTGAACGGCTGCGCGTGTCAAACCTCCTCAAGATCGTCGGCGAGACCTACGTGGTGCCCTACGCCGCGCTCCCCGGCATGCTGTGCCTTTTCACTCCCCACGTTGACGCCGGATCCGTCAAGTACGACGCCGTGATACGCGCGCCGCTGAGAAAGGTCGTCCGCGCTGTCGAGCTCACGTCACGCATCGCCACCGTGCTGGAGACAGCGAAGATCCTCGGCGGTGACGCCCCACCCCGCGACGAGGGCGAGGACGCCACGCTGCTCTGGTTCCAGGCCCTCAAAGACGATATCGACGCCGCCGTGAAGGAGCTGGGCGTTGCCGATGCCCTATCCGAGTGTAAAGAGCGGCTGGCGGAGACGATGGCCTGGTCGCGGAAGCAGAGGGCGACCACCGCCGCTCTGAAGAAGGCGGTGGGCCAGCTCGACGGCGGGCAGACGGCCGCCGAGGTAATCGCGGGACGCGGTGCCATCGCCGAGAAGGCGGCTGCCAAAGTCGTGCGAAGGACGGTCAAGGCGCCCGGGGAGCCCCACAGCGACGCGCGTCTCGAGTGGGCGGCCGGTTTGGGAAGCGCGCGGCGACGCCGGGCCCCCCTCCCTCCCCCGCACGGCCCCCCTCCCCTCCCTCACCCGCGCCCTCCCAACCCCCTAGCCCCGCTCCCACCCGCCTGTCGTCGGATCCGCCACCTCGATCGCCGGTAGCCGATGCCGCTGCGAGCGACGGGGAGAACGATGGGCTGAGCCTGAGCGGCCTCCGCGACGAGGTGGGGGACGTCGCTGCCGGGGCCGACCCCGACGATGTTGGTGACGCTCCCGACTCTGGCGGCCCTGACCCCGGCGACGGCAGCGACCCAGGCGACGGCGATCCAGGCGACGGCGCCTCGGAGCACGACGGGAGGCCGACGTTCGCTCCGCGGGCGCCGCGCACCAAACTCAAGTACAAGCTTCCCCGTTTGCCACCCGGGGTGACGAAGGCGGGCAACTGGGCGCAGGCAGTGCCCGTTCCGCACGAGGGAATCACGCGGAACAAGGCCGCGATTGCTGTTGGGGCACTCCATCTCAAATTGGCCGAGGAGCAGGTGGCGACATGGAAGTACTCGGGCGCGGCCTCTGGCCTGCGAGCCCCGGGAAGCTGGTTCGGTGCGCTTGGCATTCCCGACGAGTCGTCGTCGCAGGAGGAGGAGGACGACGACGACGAGGAGGAGGAGGAGGAGGAGGAGGAGGAGGAGGAGCGCGGACGGGGGAGGCCGCGAGGCGAGGGCGGAAACGGACGCCGCCGGCGCCGCAAGGAGCGGCGGGCCGACGAGAGCTCATCGTATGGCGACGAGGAGCAGCTTCGGAGGCCAGGGAAGCGCGCTAGGTAGCGCGGCGCGCCGTGGGGCAATAGAGCGTTTCCGCGACGCGTCCGGTGGCCAGCGCTCCGCCCACGTGCCGACGGCCACGTCGGCGCAGCGGTGGCCTTTAGCAGCGCGGTAGTGCGGTGTTCCTCGGCCGGAAGGCGCCGCTGCGTGCGGGCGAGGCGCGACAGTTTGGACAGCCGGCGAAGAGTCACATCGACCACCCGCCCCAGAATCAACACCCGAGCACGGCCCGTTCCGTCCCGTCCCGTGCCCGCGCACCAACCGAAATCGGCAGATTACTGGCCAATGGAAGAGAATGCGGGCTGGAGCTTCGCCACGAGCTCGATCTGAGCGCGATCTACCCCGGGACCTGCCCGTCCAGTCCGGACCGGATTCGCTGCCGTCCGGCCTCTTGGGGACGGAGGAAGCCCCCGCACAGCTAAATTGGCCCCTTTGAGATGGTACAGCGCGCATGATCGGGTCTTTTGCATGCCCGCCTCAAAATCTAATCCCTGCCAGTCGCTGTGGGCTCACGGGTGCAGCTCGGCCGGTGCACCGTCATGGTGCCAAAACCCCCGGACCGCGTCCGGAAAGTCCGGAAACGGAAACATTAGCGGGCTAAATTGGCATCCGACGTCCGCAATGTGGGGTTTTGATCCGCCGAAAATCGGAGCTTGATTTGCTTTCGATGTGAAAACCGATCAGGGCCCACCGATCGGGTCCCTAATCTTCCCGCCGGCAGCTGCCGCTGCCGGGCACCGGTTCCGACGCCCGTCGAGTCGCTCCGGGGCGTGCCTGCGTCCGCCCATCGCGGTCCGATGGACAGAAAGGGCGCCCCTACTGGAGGGAGCCGAGGGGCGGCGCGGGGGACGGCGGGCCTGGTCGACGCAAGCCGAATAACCCCTGCCGGCACCGAGATCGAGCTGCCCAACGGGCTGCGGCTCACCCCCGGCTACGGGTCCGGCTATCGGCCGCGCGAGCCGCAGACGGACCGGGAGGGCGCGGCCAACGGTCGCCGCGGAAAGGGGCCCGCACCCCACGACGAGCCCGACGAGCCCGACGAGGACACGGACGGCGAGTACGTTCCCGACGACGCAAAGAGGCGCCTGGCGGGCGACGCAAGGGCTCGGACGGCGCGCCCTCCGCCCGCAGCCCTTCCGCCCGAGATGGCGGAGCCGCTTGAGAGGACGTTCAGTTTCCTCTTGCCGGCGTTCGAAGCGGCTGACCGCGCCGTGGTGCACCACCGGACGATGCAGATTTACCTCAAGCGGCGCGCCGGCGAGCACGTCAGCTGCTCCGGTCGGAGAAGCCCCCGTGCGCCGTCACCCACGTCCCCGGCCGGGTCGCTGGCGAGCAGCGGCGCAGGCCTCGAGTCCGAAATCACAAAGTGCCACCGCCTTATCCGCCGGCCGAATCTAGCCAATGTTTGTCCGTGTTAGTGTAGTGGTTAACATTTGACGCTTTCAACCCGTGGATGTCATTCGCTGAGGAAGAGCCGTCACGACCCGGGTTCGATCCCCGGACACGGAAATTTTGCTGATCTGTGCAACTCATCTTCCACCTACGCTCACGAGTCTGCTGTTCCCGGGCAGGTTTGGGCGATGTGAGGGTTGGGGGAACGTCCGGGACTGGCGGGGTCCTCTGGGAAGCCGGCCCATGCACCAAAACGCATCCGCTCGGAGCTATCGGGAAATTTTGCTGCGCCGTGCAATTCCTCTTGCTCCGGGAGGCGCGAATCTGCGGTTTCCGGACGGTTCGAGGACGTCCCGGACGTGAGGGTCTTCTGGGAGGCCACCCCACACCCAAAACGCATCCGCTGGGCGCCAGGTGGCCCAAAACACGATATTCAAACCTAAACTACGATCGTTGAATGTCGCCGGCGGCCGTACTCGTGATTCGTGGGAGCTGGATTCAACACTCGCCAGTTCGAACGGCGGGCACCGACGCGCTCCAACAAACACACCCACCGCGGCACCGATATGGACCGCTACGCGTCGTTCTCCCTCCTCCGCGTCTCCCTCTCCTCCTCCGGCATCGCCACCGTCCGTGCGTCGCGCCGGAACCCGCGATGCCCCTCCACGGACTGCCGACGCGCTTCCCCTCCGGCCAGGGATAACCAACCCCCCGATAAACCTCATGACCCCCGCGATGCTCCGCGAGTACACGACATTGGTGCCAATGCTCGCGGCGGATCCGGCCGTCCGCGTGGTGGTGTTTCGGAGCGGGGTGGAAGGGTTCTTCACGGCTCACTTTGACCTCGGCGGGTTGGAGCGCGTCTGCGAGGGCGTGGCAGAAGGGCTGACGCGTCATGGGGTGGCAGAGACTCTTGCTAAAGTGCGGCTGGGAAAGGCGGGGGCACTGAACCCGGCGCATTGGCGGCTGCAGGCCTTCCACGAGGTCGCCGGTGGGCTGTCCCTTGTTCGGAGGCGGACGGAGGAGGGCGGCCGCTGACTGCCTGCTGGTGCCCGTCGGCTTCCTTCCCCGTACAGAGACGCTCCGCACGATGCCCAAGCCGACGATTGCGGTCGTCAACGGGCGGTGCGGGGGCGGCGGCTCCGAGATGGCGCTGTCGATGGACATGCGTTTCGCGGGGCCCGACGCCGTGTTCAACCAGGTCGAGGTGGGCTCCCTCCGCGGCCCGAATTTGCCTGTCGGGAGAGGCTCAATTGGTTACTTCCGGTCGCCGCGGCAGGTCGGGTTGGGGATGGTACCAGGAGGGTCCGCGACGGTGCGGCTTCCCCGGCTCTGCGGGCGGTCCCGGGCCATGGAGATCGTCCTGGGAGCGGACGATTTCAACGCTCAGGAGGCGGAACGATACGGTGGGCTCCTCATCGAGCGTTACGCGCCGTCGGTCTGCTCCTTCTGATCTGCGCTCCATTGCCGCCCGTCCCAGGCTGGGTCAACCGCTCCTTCCGAACGGCCGAGGAGCTTGAGGCGCACGTCTCCCGCCTCGCGGAGCGCATAGCCCGATTCGAACCCAACGCCGTAGCCCGCGCCAAGCGGTCCGTCCTCCGCGCCGAACGCGGCGTCGCCGAGGACCTGCTTGCAGAGGCGGCGGACAACGCCGAGACGTTCCGGACCGAGGGCGGGAGGATGACGCGGATGGTGGAGATGGGGGCGCAGACCGTCGAAGGGGGAGCGCGGTTGGCGGAGCTTGTCGCAAAGCTGTAGCGTGGTATTCCGATTGGTCGTTCGGCAATCGTCTTGTCGAAGAGGGTGCCTATACGAGGTATCTCCAGTGATCGGGAGCCAGCACCGTGCTCAGACTCCGCATCGCCCCCTGCCCCTGGCCCCGTCGCCGTTGAGTTCGGGACGCGCCGCGGGCGGGCGACGTTCAGCTCCATGCAATCGTCGGATGCGGGCCCCGCGGCCGCCGCAGTACACGCGCAGTCCCCTGAAAGTACCTTCTGCTGTAGCCGAGGCGCCAGGGTGGTCCGTCGGGGGCCACGGGGACGATCGGGTCCGCCACGGGAGGTTGGCGGGACGCTTGCCGGAGGCCGGCGCGGTCGGCCGGTTCGAGGAAAAGGGAAGGGTGTTCGGAGCCGAGGTGCGAAACCAGGAACGCGGTCGCGGCGGCGAACTGGCACGAAACGACGGGGCAGGCGCGCTCGGCGCCCGGCCGACACAGGCGGTCGCTCGAACAAAATGGTGTCACGATAGGGGGCGGCGCCGGGCCGTAGTGGCACGTTGCGCCCGGCAAAAGCGAGAAAGGGGGAGACGGGAGGTGTCGGGGGCAAGGGCAAGCTGAAGAGCAGGCTCGCGCGCGCGGTCTAGCCCGATGCCCCGTTGGTGTAGTGGAGGAGCACCTTCAGCGCCGCTTCCGCGTGTTTCTCCCCGATGTGTGCACAGAGGGGCGCGATGGCGGCGCCGAAGCCGCAATCGGGCAGGGGGCACGCCCGTTCGGCCGCCACGCACAGGGCGCGGTGGTCGGCCAGGTTACCCCGCGAGACGACGGCGGGGCACCCGTCGGGGCACGACACGGGGAGCGAGTCGATGTGCCGGCGGACGGCCCGGTTGGGCGCGAATGTGCACGGCTTGCGGCACTGCGGGCAGCGGTTGCCAAGGCGCGCCACGTCGCCCTGGCACACGATGACGGCGCAGTCGCAGCTCGATTCGACCGCTGAAGCGGGGGAATCCAGGCACAGAATGCAGTGGAAGTCGGCCATGGGCGCAGAGGCCGGGAACGCGTCGCGAGAAGTCCCAGTTCGCTGCGCTCTTTGTAATGAGGAGCTAGCAATCCCACCGTAGAAATCCCCCTACGCCCCAAGAATCAGCTCCTCATCTACATTCAAACCAACGCGACCGGCGCGGGGGCCGGAGTGTTGACAGCGCTCTCGCGGACCTCTCAGCCTCCCCTCCGACGCGGCGTGCGGCAGAACGCGTGCAGGAAACCCCGGACCAGATAGATCTTTTGCGTCCGGATGTTCTCGCACGAACAATGAGCGAGGTGGGTCCGTACAAGGCCTCTACGCGAGGTGAGTGTGCTTGAGCGATCGTTGGAACGCCTTACAGAATTCAACCGCTGCGGGCAGCCCGAAAGACCAAAATGGTACCCACCGCGCGGCTCACCGTTGAGCCTCAGCAACATGCATAGCGTCCCAGCGTCTACCGGCAGGGATGAGGCGAAGCACATTGAATGCTCGCGGAGGATCGAGGGAGAACGACGCGTAGCGGTCCGTGGCGGCGCGCGCAAAGGGTCCTCGTTTGTTGGACGCGTCTGGCACGGGCCCCGCCATGCAGTGCCGCCGCGGCCTCGAGGAGCGTAAGCTTAAACGCTCGGCAACTCCGGGTGCATTTCCTAGTCAGAGGTAAGCAGACGGCGCTGGGCTCATCACCCGTCCCACGCCCTCGCACGCACGGTGCCGGGCTCCCTGGACCTCCGCCCCCTCCGGACGGGAAGCGGCGCATCCCCTTGGCCGGAGCAAAACGGTTACAGGAGCAGCAAAATCGCTTGTTTTCCGCTGCTGGGATTCGAACCCGGGCCGCCTGTGTGAAAGACGCGGTCGTTGGATGGTTGTCGGGGAGACGGAGGTTCGGCAGGGAGGGGCGGCGGCTGGTCTCCGGCGGGCGAATCGCCAGTCGCAGGTCCGGGCGAGGGAAAGCTCGCGCTCAGCGCATGCGTCATTGGCTCCGCATGATCTCGCACCCATTTCTTTGGTGCGGCAGTGTCGTTCTGAGCACCTCCAGGCCGTCCGGTGCAGGGTTGGCGGACGGAGCTGCGACTCGAAGCGATGCCAACGCTCGAGTTCCCTCTATCAAACAAAAGGATCCATCCGCCTCTGGCTGGGTTTGAGCTCGTGGCAGCTAAGTAGTATGGGGCGAGGCAAGCTGGACGACCGGTCAAGCCCCGACGCGGCGCCCGAGGATTCCGCTTTCTCCGTCCGCCTCCCCGGCGGCAGGACCGCGATGTCCGCCCCGGACAATCCGGCGGCGGAGCTCCCCGATGGCGCGGACGGCGCGCCGGCGGCGGGAGGCGGTGCGACCTCGTTTGCCCCCGCGCGGCCGTCGCCCCTCGGCGTGGGCCTGCCGCGCGAGAGGGTCAACACCGGCGACTTTTCCGAGGACGGCTCGGATGCTGAGAGGGACGCGGAGGGGGCGGAGGGCGTGCCCGCCATCGTGGTCGCCGCCGCGGACGGGCCCGGCGCGGCGGTGCCCCGCGCGCGGCCCCCGGCGGCGGCGTTCCTCTCGGCCACCTCGCCGCCGACCCGCCGCACGTCGACCATCTCGCTGCACCCCCCGCTCGCGCACCTCGAGGCGTTCCGGCCGCCGCCCGACGCGGACTTCTTCAAAAGGCTGGCCGCGCTGCGGCCGGGCAGGGGGACGCCAAAGGGCTGGGAGCGGGACGACGACAACGCCTCCATGTCGTCGCATCGCACGGACTCGTTCGACGGCAGCGGGTCGACCGCCGCCCACCGGGACCCAGAGGAGCACGCAAAGGCGGACCTCCACGACGCGGACGCCACCCACGAGCCCGATCGGCGGGGGCTCCGCTGCAGCTGCCCCGGCCCCGCCGAGTTCGGTGCCCTCCTGTGGCGCTGGGCAAAGATGGCCGTGCCCTTCCTCGAGTGGTTCCCCGAGTACGTCGGCGCCGTGCCCCCCGCGACCCTCGACCCCTCGTCGGTCCTCTCCAAGGACCGGGCCGCCTTCCGCGCCGCCCCCTGGTACCGCCGCGGCGCGTGGAGGACAATAATTTTCGGGGATCTCATCGCGGGGCTGACCATCGGCGTCATGGTCGTTCCCCAGGGCATGGCCTGTGGGTCTCTGTCGTTCCGCGTTCCGCCACCCGCGCCCATCTCACCTCTCGCCCTCCCGTCTAGACGCCACGCTGGCCTCGCTCCCCCCCATCTACGGCCTCTACGCCTGCCTCGTCCCCCTCTTCGTCTACGCCCTCTTCGGCACCTCGCGCGAGATGTCGGTCGGCCCCGTCGCCATCAACGCGCTGCTCCTCACCTCGGGCCTGTACCCCGCCGTCGCCGGCCTCCCCGCCGCGGAGCAGCCCGCCGAGTACCTCCAGCTGGTCATCTCGACGA